ATGATCTTCTCAGGTCCCTTCCGACCCTACAAACTCTGAAACTATGAAACATACAAAGCTAAGAATTTATTTTTGAGTTATTATGCAATCACCTCTATCTACACTACACAAACACAAATCATGACAAAAATATTTTTTTTATGATTTGGTTGGTTTTTTTTCTGGTTTAAGATGGCAAAAGTATTTCCGGGGGAAAACGGTGGAGGGGACTTCCGGTGGCTAAGGTCAGGGGTTAGGGCTGCGACTTCTGGTCCTAAGATGGTGACAAGGGGTTGGGCCAACAGTCAAGGGGTGGGACTACTCATGCTTACCAAAACAGTTTACCAAAACTCATTAAGTGGCCCTCCACCCAAAATAACTGCCCGCCCCTGTGCTAGCTGCTCACAAAGTCCAGATTGATTCTCTGACTAACTGGAAGTCTGGGATTTTTTAAGTGATGTTGTGGGTGATATCTCTGGAATAGTTCCTGGACCATCATGGCTACAACATCATTCTAATAGTACCATAACTAGAAGTCTCACATTCACTACTTATTGACTCTTTACAGTTCATTTGTTTGTGGGCTATATATGCTGCTCTGTTGCTGCTGCTGCTTTTTACTTTTAGCAAGGAAGTGCATGTAAGTTTAGAGTGGCACAGACATTGTTACCTGCAGGATAAAAGCACCACATAGGATAAAACCTCTTTAGTTTGACTAAAAAAAGCATACATGAGCAGTTACGCCATTCGACATGCAAACGTGTCAGCCTGCCAGCCCAGGGCTGCTCCACTTGGGCTCAATGTGCTACTGAGGGGCTGGCTGAGGCATGAGTGTGCTTCAGCGTGGACATGAACAACGCGTGCCCCTGGCAGCTGGGGGGGCACAGCGGCACTGGTGGGAGCGTGGCAGCGGTAAGCGGGGAGCTCCTGCAGATGTCGCTGGAGCTGTCAGCAGCAGGGGGAGGGGAGGTGGTGAGCACCAACCAGGTGGCAGTGGCAAGTGGCAACCACCTGCAGGCACTGCGCTGACACTGTCGGGAGTGATTTTGTGTAGGGGGTGCACCGCCATGCTCAGGGGAGTGCACGTGCACCCACGTGCACCCCCTACACATCGCCAGTAAGTGTGGAGCTAGCCAGCAAGCAGCCCCTGAACTGAAGCACACTCATGCTGCAGACAGCTGAGTCAGAATCTACACGTGCGCTGCTGTGCATGAAAAAACTCTGCAGAAAGGTAGTACCTGTATTTACAGCTAGTACCCTGCTGTGGAGTTTCTGAGTTTTCTGCACGCTAACAGTAGTGCACATGTAGATGCTGAGATGTTTACTGCGGAGCTAAGCATCTTGTGTAGATGCATCCTGGGAGTACTTGTGGAACATGTTACAGTACTACTCTATGCAAGTAAGCATAGCATAATATGGGCCATAAAAAAGTGCCCAGCATCAGTCCCTCATTTCCACTGAAGTCAGCACAGGATTTAGCCATAAATGTTTAGTGCATGATTGTACTTGCATTGAAGTCAATTGCAAAAGATTGTAAGAAATGGTTGTATTAACATGTTGCAAGCAAGTTGTGGCATCAAGAAATAAAGACCAGGTGTTCTGCTGAACTTTGAATTTTTATTTTGCATTGACAAATACAGTACATACATGGATTCAATACACACACATAATCTGTGTTTTGAATGCCAACAAAACCACGCCAAAAGAATTTCTCCTTACAACAGTCTTTCTGAAAAGTCTCTGTAAGAAGTCCAGTATATCAAAGCTGATCTTAGAAACACAACTTTTACGGAACAGAAATACATTTAGGCAAGTAACATTGAAGGTATCTTTAAAGGGGTGCAACAAAATACATCTTCCCACTCAGCCAGATCAATGGGAAACAGAACTTTTCATTTCTAATAAGGAGCTTTGAATTCATTTAAGAAAGTGCTTCTGTTTCCAGTGATGTCATGTCAGACACCTGGCAAATAGTGCTTCAGTTTCTTTGCTGTAAACAAACAGGATGCAAATCAGCTCTCACATTTTCCCATTTTATAAATAAAACTCTTCCTCTCATTACTGCCCCCAAAGACAGACATTCTTTTTTCCTCTAAATTTAAAAATAAAGGGTTTATTTTAATACGAGGAGTGAAAAAGACCAAGTAAGTTTTAACTGAGCTGAGTCACCAGCACCTGAGCTCTGAGGGGTAACAATCTTGGGATGCGTCTATACATGCGCTTTAATACACGTTAGCCTATTTTAATGCACATTAAACCATCACTAAAAATACTATTCAATTAATGCGCATTAAAATAGCTAATGTGCATTAAGTATCACTTAAAAGCCATGAGCTCCTATACACATGCAGGGAAGTTGCTCCGATATAATTACAGTATGTCAGAGCAGACTCAATGAATCATTTCAGCTGGAGTGTGGTAATTACCGTGCTCCAGCAGACTCCTGGATCACCTGTATCAGTGTCTCTGCTCTGAAAAATGGCAGCATTTTAAATTAAAGCTCATTCAATGCACCCCACCACCATTTTTCAGCGTGAAGGCACTGATAAACATGAATTTCCAGGTGCCTGTAATTAGTGCAGCTCTCAGAGCTATGCTAATTAAAGTTGCCCCCCCACCCCACCCTGCACCCCTGTGCTTTTTAGTTAATGCACATTAAGATCAGCTAATGCACATTTTCCTAGTACCTCACAATGGAGGTACTAGATTTAATGTGCATTAACTTAAACGCTTTAAGGCACATGCAGATGTGCCCTTGATATTTGCTAAGTCTTGCACTCTGGTCCCCTGCAAAAATCAGGTAATGTTAACTTTACAGTTATTTTAACACCATATCATATATCATTGTTAGTACCTAAGAAAAATGAAAGCTTTCCTATTGGTTGCTATAGTAGAAGTGGTATTAAAAGAAGTGAAAATAGTGCATGCTTTCTCTGTCTCTCAGACTTTCTCCTCCCTTGCTACAGTGAGGATCCTAGAGAAAAATTTATTTAATTAGCTAGTGTTGCTATTCAGCTACTGAGTGACAAAGAAACCCAGCAGACCAGAATTCACTCCCCTTTTTAAGGTCACTTGGACCTACATTATGAGGGGTGGATTTTTGAATAACTGCTAACATGCTAACAAACTAAATGTTATTTCTTCAAACGTAGGCTTTTTAAGTAGGTAAAAAATAATTGGCATGAAATCATGCCTGGCACTTTTTCAGAGTAAGAAATACTCTGATTTTGTACAGCCATTTTTTCACTCAGTGTTCCCCCAAATACTTATTACTGAATTAGACACGGATAGTGCAGTCAGTGCATAGGCACTTGTGGTCATTGTACTCAATAATGGTTCCCAATGGGTCCGTGGGACAGCAGAGGGACAGGCTGAAAAAAAACTGCCAGTAGTTTGAGATTCTGATACTCTATATTGGTCTGTTATCTGGAAGGCTCTGAAGGCCAAATTCTGATCAGGTCCACTGGTATAACTCAGCTGTAGCTGAAGTGTGTATTTCATATTTTCTGCGTAAAATATGCTGCTCTTTGTTGTACCAGGGCACATTAGAGCAGAATTCAGTACCACGTCTTCAATGGAAGGAAACTCAGATTGTTAAGTCAGGTCTATTCTGCAAGCTACCTCTAAGCATGGATAAATTATCAGGGTCTCTTAGCTTGCACAGACCCTTGTGCTGCTGTAGTTTGATTACTTTTGGTACAAACTAACTCATTTGGCTCTAGCTTGGTGTTTCTGCTGTGTAGCACAGCATGCTGAAGCTCCTGTTGACTTCAGAGGGCTCAAGTCCATTCTTGTGCGTTCAGGTAGAGATTGAACAAAGCCATTTATTTTTTGCCAGCATTAAATGAAAGTAGGAGATTTAAAGAAAAAATGATCAATAACAAAATGCCAAAATTCCTTGATGTGATAGTTATGCTATTTTTTAATTATAAAATGTCAGAATATTGATGTCACATTAAATGTAATTGTACTGGAGACTTTGACATGCAAGGTGATCTGTCAATCTAACTTCAATTACTTTTCTTTCTTACCTGTCATAATAGTGAAGATTAGTCACAAGACAGGAAAAGTTATGAGTCAAATGGTTTCAAACTGGTATATGGGATTTTCACATTTCAAGCTATTTTGTCTCATCTCTTCATCCATGGGAAGATAAATATAACATTTAAGTTAACTAACTAAGAAGACTATTTAAAGTAGCACACATTTAATATTGCCCATTACCAAAAGACAAACTAGCATGAGAAAATGTAAGTAAACTCAAGAGTCTTTATGAAAGCAGAAACTGCTGATATCTCACAAATGGATCAGAAACTCGATAATCAAATCTGCATACTACCTAAGGAAAGACTTGACTAATGAGATGCCTCAGTCCAAACTTCCCTGCTACGGTGACTTCTGATTTTAAAAGTTACAAGCTGCCATGTGTTTGACAGCTGTCAATCAATAGTTTCTTAAATAACAGATTGGACTGTGACACAATCCAGACATGTGCTTGTATAATGAAGTGGTGCTGTGCAGGTGGTGTACATGCCACCTGGCTGTCGTGGAAAATGAACTATTTGAACATGGTGATTTGGTTTTTGCTATAATAACTATGAAGGGGATACTTACTGTTAATACAAAAAGTAGCATCTCTTGTCTCTCCTGGTCTGTCACTATTTCAGTCTGCCAAAAGTAGACCATTGTGTGAAAAAGCTTTGCTAAGTTATTCTTGTTAATATATAGGTATTTCACAGGTATTACTTGCAAAAATGTTCACAGATTGTCTCTCAAAAAAGAGCAGCTTACACATTTATGCTATTCCCCAAAGCCCCCCTCACCTATGTAGAAGGTGAATTTATTCTAACATTCATGAAAAATTAGTAATTAACATGTATCACATGAGATTCCTGCTGCCTTTCAGCATTTCAGAGAAAATGTCATCATCAAAATACATGTCATTTTCACTTCTTGCAAGAAAACATTGAACTTGGGAGAAATTAAAGGCTTCCTGTTGCTTTCTTCCTTAAAGCTCTTGTACTTTTCCCTCAAAAAGGAGAAAGAATCGGAGGAAGAAATAATATCTGCATGTAGTAGATAATCCTAGAGTCAAAATTTAGTACAGGAGTATTAAGCAGTTGAATCTGTCTCCCTTACAAAACAACGATTGATTCCTCTGTCTTGATGCAAGAAGAATCCTCAGAAATCATGATGTATTTAGCTTGACTACATTCTGTAGGCTGAATGCTCTCAGCCAAAGACAACAGAATTGTAGGCTACTGTTAACAACAGCACACATCCCTTTGTTTATATTTAAGCATTGTTGGCACACATGATATACAAGTATCTGGCCCTCTATGTCCAGTCATACCACTTACACTGCAGCTATTTATGCAGGAACACTGTCATGCCACAGATGCCCAAATTCACAGTAAAATTTAAAACTACTTGTCAAAAGTAGTTTGCATGCAAGTTGTATCAACATTTTTTCATGCTGTTGTCTGTCTTATGTCATCTGAGAAAGTGACCTGTCGCTCTTTCCATCTGGTGTTAGAGCAGCCGGAGACAGCACTTGCTGCCTGACAGAATTTTTGGAGGAGGATCTTTCTTAACAGCAGATAAACCCAGGGATCCAGAATCTGGTTTAGTGAGGCCAAACGGACAGCAGTCAGGAAGAAATTGCATTCCTCCTGCAGTTCTAAGTTTTGGTCCACGTAGTTGGTTGCATTGCAGTGTTCAATAGATGTATGATTGAAGATCATTTTCAACATCGTAATCTAAGGAGAGGTGAGAAAAATAATGTAATTTTTTTTCTAAGAAATATGCACTTTGTTGCTTTCTGCAGAAACTTCTTACAGAAAAGAAATCATCAGAACAGAGGTTTCCCTCCCCCTGCCACAGATTCCCCCAAATCAAACCATAATCATGGCAAATAGAGGGTGTACTTATGAACTTCATACTCTATGTTGTGGGAGGACACACAGCTTCAATTCACAGCAGTAAAAGGCGATGATCACATTTGAACCTATAGCCATCCCTTACTTGGATTTATACATCTGGTATTTAATCAAGGAGGCATTTGCTGTTTCCCCTCCTTGGGACATGGCACCAGTGGTATTAGGTCCGTGTGATGGATGGGTGATATATTTAGAATAACAAGTTGCTAAAGTTAGGAAACAAATCAGTTTACAATGGCTCACTTTTAAATTCTTCCTTGGAACTTTTGTTGGGCATAGCCATTTTTAAAATTTCAGATAAAGCAATGGAGATACTATTCATTTCTAAAAAAGAGCTTGGGGTCAGGTGGCATTAACTGACCCCTGTGTCACTCAGGAAAACTGTTCTTTAGGGCAGTCTTATTGTTCAAAGTGGGTGTATCTACATGTGCATTAGTGTGCTTTTACAAATGCAAATTAAATGCAGTACCTCCAATATAAGGTACTAAATAAATGTGTATTAGGTACACTAATGCGCAGTAGTGTAAGCGCATGTTTTTTAGGTGATGCTAATGCACCTTATTCTACTGTGCATTAGCATATTGGCATGGTTTTTGATGTGTTGCTTTAAAGCACAGTAGAAAAGGCTACTGAACATTGAAGCACCAGCGTAGACACACCCTGTATCACCTCCTGAGGTGCAGCAAAAACATAACCGGTGTCACTGCTCTCCTCTGAAAAAGTCTTCTGGATGTCAGATTAGATCTGTGCAATATTTTACACTGTTTATTAAAATAGATGGTTCAGATGAACATTTGAATGTAGCAACTCAGTTCTCCGTGTTGGTTTATGCATTGCCACCAGGCTTGTGGCTTTTAAAGGGCTTGTCAATTGAACATAATATAATGTAACGTAACTATTCAAGCAATTAAAACAACATGCGCTTCAACAGTACTTTTCATCTGAGAAGCTCGAAGTGCTTTACAAACATGAATGAAATGAGCCTTGTAAGAAAGCAACAGGACAGGAAAGATGTGAAGGCTGATGATAGCTTGAGCCAGTTCAAAAGGAGATTGGACACAATCTTGGAGGAAAAGCCCATCAGTAGGTATTAAGCATGGCAGATAGGAGTGCCACCTCAAAAACACAAGCTGCAACTGTAGAGGAGCAGGGAAGACATTCTCGATACATCCTGTTCACCTTCCCTCTCAGCATTCACACTCTGCCAGTGTGCGACACAGGACACTGGGCCGGACGGACCAAATGTGTCACCCAGTAAATGGCCTTTCTTAAGTTCTTATGTAACTAAGGCAACCAAGTGTTTAATCGACTTTCTCAAGCTCACATGAGAAGCCTTGAAAGAGCTAGAGATAAAACCCAAAGCTCTGCATGCTGTTAAGCTGAGTTACAAGTTCCCCATTTTTCTGTTGTCAGTCTATTGCTTGTCTGGGTAATAGCAATGACAAGGAAGCTGGTAAAGTGGTTCTGAGTACTGTGATATTTTCATATCTTAATATAATGCTGGGAAACCTGAGGCTGGTTTTTAAGGATGTTAAATACTTATGTTTTTTCCAGGGATTAGTTGGTATCCGCCCTCAAATTCTGACCCTGCTCACCACCACCAAGTGTTCTGTATATAAAGGGCTGTTGTTTTTAAATTTAGTACTATTTTGGACAAACTCACGACATCCAATACATACAAGGTTTAGCAAGCTTCATATTACAGCCTCTTTTCTGCAGTCTATAAATACAGACTCAAAAGCCTTCTCAGTGGAATCAGGTGTAGAACTTTGTCAGGGTATCTGAACTGCAGCTACATACTGGGGCAATATCTAAGAGCAAAACTAATAGATATTTTAAAGGGGGTGCAGAGAGATTACTTCTGTTACCCTGGAACTCTCTCACGAACATTTGCAAGTTTTGTTTGCAACAGGAAGAGCCGATTAGTGTTTACGTCACAGAATTTCCAGGTGCTCCAAATGACATCAGAGGCCCCTTTTTTGGATGACGTGGTAGAGAAAATCTATGTCATGAATTCTCATTCTAAATAAGAAAAACAGAGGTTAAGGTGGGCAACAGAGACACAGATGCAATACAAGCTCTATGAGGCAGGTCCTGGGTTATGTGTTTGCATAGCACCTAGTTCAGAGTGGGCAAAGGCCATTATTGGAACCAATGGACCCAACTGCTAAATCATTAAAATTAATGTGAAATGATCTGCTAAGGCTGACCTTCTTGACAGGGCTTTAAACTGAGACCACTGGTGGATGGGCAGTCTACTAACAGTTCTAGCCCAGGTCATGTCAGCTGCACTACCAAAAACTTGGGCAGCACAAGGGAGACAGCCCAAGGAAAGGTCCCGCTAAACCTCTCAGGGAAGCATTGGGCTTCCCATGGCAGTCTCAACTGCCTGTACACAAGCGCCAGGAGCTTGGGAAATAAGCATGAGGAACTGGCCCTTCTCCTATGTGAAAATGTTTATGACCTGGTAGGAATTACAGAGACCTGGTGGGACTCCACCTATGACTGGTCGGTGGCAATAGAGGGCTATAACCTGTATAGGAGAGACCGTGTTTGGAAGAGAGGTGGGGATGTAGCTCTCTACATCAAGGATCAGCTCATCTCCCTGCAGATCGAGTTTCCAAATTAGGAAGGGCATCTTGAGACCCTCTGGGTCAGGATACAAGGAGAACATGGGGAGAGTGACTTACTCGTGGGAGTCTACTATAGACCTCCCCACCAAGAGGAACACCTAGATTGAGAATTCAATAGGGAACTGGTCAAGGCCAAGCGCTCCCGACCCATGAACGTCATGGGGGACTTCAACGTCACTTCCCTGACATCTCTTGGGACGAGCGCATGGCCAAATCTGACAGGTTACATAGCTTCCTCACATGCATCGATGACTTCTACCTAACCCAGGAGGTCTATGGCCAATGGGGTGGACCTAGTGAGCGATCTGCGGATCGAGAGGAAGCTTGGTGACAGCGACCACAAACTGGTCACCTTCTTAGCTCACCGAAGAGCAGACAAACCCAGCAGTAAAGCAAAAGTTCTTAAATTGGGAAGGCTGACTTTTGCAAACTGAGAGAATTGGTCAGTCAGGCAATTAGAGGCCATACCCCACCAGAACAGGATGCACATGAGGATTGGTCATTTCTTATAAACATAATCCTTAAAGCACAGGGCAAAGCCATACCATCTCACAAGAAATGCAGTCAACAGGCAAGAAAGCCCCCACGGCTGAATAAGGAACTCTTGGACCTTATTAAGTGAAAAAGAGTAGCCTACACCAGCTGGAAAACAGGAAGCGTAACCAAAGAGAATTATTCTGCACTTGCCTGCAGCTGTAGAAAGCGGTCGAGGAAAGCCAAGGCACAAACTGAACTTAGGCTAGCCACGGGAATCAAGGACAACAAAAAGCCTTTCTTCAGCTATGTGGGAAGTCGGAAAAAGAACAAGGATAGCATTGGGCCCCTGGGAGAGCCAGTGGGGCAACTGACTTCTGATGCCCGAGAAAGGGCCACTCTCCTAAATGACTTTTTTGCATTGGTTTTTCATTCTCCCGGGAGGATCACATTGTCAGGAATGGCACTGTGGGGGGCGCGAGCCAGGCTGTAGCTATAGCCCCGGGGTTCTGATCCCCTGATGTTAGTTTAGCGAAAGGGAGAGGTGGACTCGTAATGGTTGCAAAAGTACTTTCTTTTATTTAGTCCCTTTTTACATGCGCTCCACTGATACAGATGTGGCTGCGCAGGCAGTTACACTTGGTTACACACGACACTCAATCCCGAACTGACGCCAGACAACGTTTCTTACTTGTACACCACCGGTGTGAACGTGGGTGCAGGACGGATTCTGTCCTAATCCAGGCAAGAGACGAAAGGAAGAAAATAACAAACTCGTTGGATCCACGTTCGGGTGAGGCTGGGGAAACGATTGAGCATCCATCCAGTTCGCTGGAACGAATGCGCGAAAAAACTCAACGGTTCTCGGGAAAACAATAAAGCTGTGGACACTTCGAGAACCAAAAGAAAATCGATCGGCAGATTGTTCTCCAGAGACAGGAGAAGCCGTGGGAAGTTGGCCAGGCCTTCCCAGCGAGCGATGGAAGCTCCGGCTTCTCGGCTAGCTGAGCGGGTGATGGATGCTGCACGCTGCTCTGCTGTTCTTTCTGCTCTTCCTCCCGGGTGGAGAACTCTGCCCCAGTTTTATAGGCCTGATGACAAACCCGGATTTAAGCCCTTTTGATTGGTCCACCGGGTTCCCTACAGGGGCGGGGCTTAGCACATGGCCAGAGACCATGCGGATGGGGTCTTCCCAGCACATGGCCAGGGGCCATACAGCAGGGTCTCCTGAGCACACGGCCAAGGGGCCATGCAGCAGGCCAAACGGGCTTCCCAGATAGAAGAAAGAGTGCTTGGCAGCACCTATTGCTGGGCAGAGCTTGCAGAGCCCAGCTGGAGTGTGACAGGCACAAACCACCAATCTGGGAGCAGGTGATGGGCCTAAAATCAATGTAGATAAGGTGAGGGAACATTTTGAGTAACTGGACATTCACAAGTCTGCAGGCCCAGACGCAATGCACCCAAGGGTCTTGAAGGAGCTGATAGACATCATTGCATCCCCCTTGGCAGAAATATGTGAAAAATTGTGACATTCAGGCAAGGTCCCAGATGACTGGAAAAGAGCCAGCGTGGTCCCTATCTACAAGAAAAGGAGGAGGGATGACTCGGGGAACTATGGACCAATCAGTCTTATGTCTGTCCCTGGAAAAATCCTCGAGAAAATCCCCTCAAGGGATCCATCAATGCCAGACTGACAGAAGGCAAGCTTCTGAA